CTTTTATCATGATATAATTTTCTACTTTAGTCAAAATTAAAAACACAGATTGAAATATTTTGTACTTAAAAAAAATGATTTGTGAAGCACAGATAGATACTTCTCATTAATATTTCCTCTTTTCGTCAGTTCAGTGTGTTTGTGAGTATCTGCGCTGCTTACAATAAAATCTATATTCTTCTATTTAAGGCTATATGGCCGACTATTACACATATGAATTCTTATTGCCATGTCCTGTTTGTATTTTGCGTTGTATAATTTAACCCGTGTTATTTTTTAATGCCAGCAATTCCCAAAATGCATCACATCAAGGCGGTCATAAAGTTACTGTTTGGCAAGAGGAGGTGTGTGTGTGTACCTGTTTAGACATCTTTGCGGGGACCAAAAATTGGAAGTTTACTATACTTCTGGGGACCAAAATCTCGGTCCCCACTAGTGCAAAGGCATTTTTGAGACTCAAAATAGGGTTTTAGTGTCAGGGTTACAATTAAGTTATGGTTAGGTTTAGGGTAACAGTCAGGGTTAGGCATTCATTTTTGATGGTTAGGGTAAGCGGCTAGGGCATTATGTCAATGAGATGTCCCCACTAGGATAGCAACACCTGACGTGTGTGTGTGTGTGTGTGTGTGCGCGCACACACATATATGTGTAAAATGTGGCTGTGAGGAACAGGAGCTTCAGTAACTACCTCAATTTTCAGAGGAAATCCACTTCAGAGGCCTAAAGAAAAGGCATCCCAACAGCATGTAGGGTACTTTTTTGTTTAGTTTTCCTAATCAAAAAAAGAGGTTACCAGGGGGCCCGAATGAAAAGCAGTGGGCTGACATGCAGTTAAAGGACTGACACTTATTTGCTATGACTAAATTTGGAATACTCTGTGATTATCCTCTCAAAGATGTATGTGTGTGTGTCCCTCCACCTACACACAGAGCAAAGCAGGCAGCAGCTCAGAGTGAAGCAAAAAATGTAACAAGAAGCAAGTTTTAGCTAAAGTATGAGAGCTACTTATCCAGCAACATCAAAGGCAGTGCTGCATGGAGTTGGCAGGAATACCTCATCCAAGCGGACAGAATGAGATAAGTGAAGCCTCGGCTGGGTTGGTGGCTTTTGGAGCATTTCTAATGACATTATCTCACAGACTGTCCAAGAAGTTTCTGCTTCAGTTTTGCTAAGTTTGCTGCACTACTTAGCACTAATAAACAAGTATCTGTGTTTGTGGGAAATAGCCGTGCAGCTTGCTAATCAGTGTTTACTTTACTACAGTCAGCTACCAAAGTATGTAGGAAATAAACTACACTACCCCAGTGTGACTGAAAGAAGTCCTCACATGTTGCCACACAGTTAAATACCTCCTCAACGACACCGAACTGTTGTAACTCACACATTAAGCTGTTTAATGAGGTGATTAATTGTGGTAAATATGGGGAGTATGGGTGCTGTTTACTCATTTAAGGAAAATGAGATGCTTCCCTTATACAGAATATTTAGACTCCACCAACTTTGAGAATATGCAAGTGGAAATGCTTTCTGGAATAAAGTAGCCACTAATCATTCATCCCAACTCTTGGGTTTTTTCAGTTTGCAGCTACACAGCTGATGAACTGTTATCTTAGCTAACCTACTGGTATCTGGCCATACAAGTAGTTTTAGCTTTGTTATTGGTCCAGATTTGAAAATTCCTGTACTTTTAGAGATTGTCAGTACAGTTTCATATACACTCTGCTACCTTACAACTACAGTTGCCTTTTAGTGTAAGACGTATGATAGGGAAAGCCAACAAGCAATGAGCTGCACCTGGTGAGGCTGCTCGTTGTTGAATTCTCTCCAGTACAACAACGGGTGGTTGAGGGTTTGGAGAAAGATCCAGATAGCTCTAAATCTGTTATTACTACTGTATGCATCAGCAGGGGAACATCTGATACAACATGAAAGGCTTCCCAAGAGCATCATGGGGGATCCCGGCGCATTCCCGGGATATGCAATCATACCAGCATTTTCTGGTTATGCTGCATGGTCTCCATTCAGTTGGATGTGCTCAGGAAATCACTAAAGGGAAGTCAGGAGGAATCCTTATCAGATAAAATTACTTCAACTGGAACCTTTTAACAGAAAGGATCAGTAGTTGACCCTCCAGGTAAACTGTTTCTAGCTGCTCCTCCCAGGCCTTCCTAGTGGATTTCAGAAGGAGTTTCAGGCCAGAATGCCTGTAATCTGGTTATGCTCCGTACTTTGAAGCAGTACCAAGGTGCTGGTCAGATGCTCAAACTGCTCACGATCATTGGTTATGTTTGACATGCAGATCAGCTGGCCAATCAAGACTTAAATCTGCTTTTTCAGTCACATCTTTCCCTCATTCATTCACCAGCTCTTGTTGTTGCTTGAAGTACATCACCACTACGTTTTGGGCTTCTACCCACCCCCAGCCCTCAGTGATCCTCTCCTATAAAAAGATGTGGTCAGACACAGCGTGTTCTTACATTCTTGTGCTTGCTGCCTTTATCTCTTACAGACGTTTTCTTTCAAATCTACAAATATTATGTGTCTAAGTTCGGTTTAGCTCAGAGATATCAACTTGTCACTGGCTCTTCAGTCTTTAACAGCGGGAGGCAGGGTGAAGTGCCGGATTAGTGTGCTTACATAAAAGGACCGTGTCAGGCCAGCTTCTGTGTGTTGTCTATTTTCTCTTGTTCTAGACACCCAGAGATTTATGTCATCTTGTCATTTATTGGGCTGTGGTGGGTGTCTTGGCTGTGTAATTATGAGGTCTGCTGCTCTTATGGGTTTATGTGCGTAGTGCGGCGAGACACTTCAAAAGAAAACAGATGCAACAGAGAGCTAATTCAGTTGTTTCCTCACTGCCAACTTTCATAACCGTGCACTCAAAATATACTGTATCTTAGGGACCCGGTAACCTCTGTGTTCAGCACAGAGCTCGAACACGAGAGAAATGTTTCACACATCAAACTGTCATACTTGAAGCCCCGCAGAGTACCCAGGTCTGAAGTTAGGCGCTGCTGAGCTGAGGTTAACAAGAAGGCCTGGCTTAATATGTCAGCGAACATTACTGCACAGGACTTTCTTTGTAACTGGAAAAGGAAAAGATATTTTAGGACCAAACAAGCAATTAGGTGCTATGTGAGAAGGTTGAATAAAGGTTGCATAAATATGATGGAATATAGCAAAACATCCTCGAAATGATTTTTAGGCGCCTGTGCAGCTCTTTGTAGAAATAAATGTAATTTATTTAATTAGATTAGATGGTCAGCTGGTTACTAAGGCAATACAACTGTCCTTTAAAGGTCTGTATAAAAAAGATAGATATTTGTTAGCTGTTTCAGCTAAGAGCTACGGTGAATGCTGTACAGTAAATTATTTCCACTGTTGTTAACATGCTGCTGTTGCCACACATCTGTTGACTCTACAAGACCTCTCAGTGTCCTTTGTGGATCAGGCTGACCGCACAAGCACTTCTGAAATGCTCTGATTCAGTCGTCTGGCTATATCACTTTGGCTCTTGTCCAAATGACTTTGGTTTTTACACCTGCCCGTTTCTTCTGAGCCGACCCCTCAGCTAACATATCCCAGACTTTGAAACGGGCCCTCATTACAAAATGCTCAGAAGGTTTTGGCTTATCGGTATAAATATTCGAAGATGTTATAATTTATTTCCAAGAGCAAGAATCTAATCTGACAACTGAGGCTGCTCCGGGGATGCTAATGCTATTGTTAGCTTCATTTACGATTTTAGTTGGTCATCTATTATTAAGTGCGAGCGCTGCAGTTTACTGTCAGGCTCACTTTAAGTGCTCACCCTTCTTTCACTGTTGGGATGATGCAGACACATTGTTTTCTTCATCTGCAGCAGACAGCTGACATCAAATCCTTTTTCTTTATAGCTAACGTATTATTGAAAAGGTCACTCATGCTTCAGTTTGCTCTTGGGTTTGTTGCAGTTTTTCCAAGCATTGCACAGTCTGGCCTTGGGGTGAATTTACTGGAACATCCACTCCTGAGAAGACTGGCAGCTGTCAAGAATGTTTGCCACGTTCTCGCTGTCGAATGATGGAAATCAAACTGTTGGGAAATGGACTTATATCCCCACGCAGACGGACATGCAGCCACAGTAACATCTTGTCTTTCCTCTGTGGTATGCCTGAATTCTCCCCATGTTCTCATCCCAACATGCAACATACCGACGCTATGTGACAAATCGTCGATATGATCCGAGCCATGAGAGCATATTAGAAGGGATCTATAAATGTAAGGTTAGGGTTAGGGCTGTAATAGAAAGCTGCTAAGTGAATAACAGGGGAAGCGCTTCAATTAAGAATCCGGAGCGTCTCGTAATGTGGAAGGGCACCTTTCGCGTTACTGTGACACGTCTCGGGCCATGACGAATCGTCAGTATGGGGTTTTGTTTTGTATACTGCAAACAGCAAAACTTGTGCTTTTATAAAGGTGGTCCTCCTCGCTGATTTGATCTGGTTAGAGGCACCTGGCTGCTTCTTCATTTCTATAATGTACTTAGTTTTTCACACAGCGCTTCCACATTGTGGTCTAATTTTTGGCAGAGAAAAAAATGACATGGAGTAATATGTCATACTTTGTAGTTCTTCTGAGGTTGTACCTGCCAAGTGCCAGGTTACTTTTTCTTATTATGTTGTGACAAGTTTAAAGAAGGGTGCTTTGTTATTTAACATGACTGGAGGTGCATATTTTTCAAACTCACATGGTTGGTGCCAATCATTTTCTCTCTTTGTTTATCCTTTGCGGTTTAAGATTTTTTTCTATCAAGTGAAACCTAAAAAAATCTTTAGCAAAACTTACTTTGTGAACAAAAGGTGCTGCAGATGCACAACAGGAAATCCACAGAGGAAAGAAACAAAACCACGAGCCCAGGATACAAAGAAGAAAAAGTCACACTGACAGAAACAGTGGAACAAAAGAGAACAACTACCATCGAAATACAGTTTATGTTTCTGCATACTGTCCTGTATTAGAGCACCAATCCACTGCTGGAGCCCTCCCCAACACATGCACTGGTCTCACACAGTCATAACATCACGGTGTGGTACGGGAACTGCACAGTACAGCAACAGAAAGCCCTGCAGAGGGTCGTGCGCACAGCTGAACGCACTATGGGAACATCTTTACCAACACTGCAGGACATCTACGCTGAAAGGTGCAGATCCCGGGCCATCAGGATCACTAACGACTCCAGCCATCCCGCTTACAAACTGTTCAGGCCACTGAGGTCAGGGAAACGCCTCTGTAGCCTGAAAACAAGAACTGAAAGGTTCAGGAGGAGTTTTTACCCACAAACAGTGAGACTCCTCAATCAAAACACAAATCGGACAACATGATGGACAATTCCATACACAGTATATAATTTTCCTTTGAGTTTTATCCTTATTTTTATTTGTATTTTATCATATACATCTGTATTTATGTAAATACGTACACTATAGCTCTTAACTATTACAGCGTAATATTTTGCACCATATTATACATTTTTATACTTTTATATAGATATTTTTTATTATAAGTTTAGTAAGATGCACAGTCGGGGGGGGAGTACTTTTTAGCCGGAAAAAACATTTCACTGTGTGTTGTACTAGTTATAACTACATGTGACAAATAAATAAAGAATTGAAAGAATTGAATTGTAAACACACAGTGTGCACACTTGTATAAAAGAAAAGTGTTTATTTGTAACCAATTTCAAAAGAAGAAGGCCTACAGTAAGATCTTTGTGTGTAGATGAACAAAACACATTGTGCAGGAAAAAAGAGAATATGTATGAGAAAGAGGAAACCATCAGTTTTTAATATGATGTTCACTGGATTCAAGTAACATCAAAGCACTCAAACACACTCATAACATCGAACCAAAGGCTGAAGAAAAGCTTTTAGTATATTTGGGTTTCATAATCTTTTTTTTGCTCTTTTAAAAATCTGAAAAATTCTTTTCTCATACATTTGCTCAGCAGGCAAAGCAGCGTCAAATCTTCACAAATGACTGGCCTGCAGCACCAGAATACATTTTACAGCTTGTTTCGCATGTTCATTGCCGTTGCCAGTGTATTAGAGCGGTCCACGCTGGAACCAGTTCACATACCACACAGTCAGCAAACACGGTATAGAGTGGTCTCGGAGGACTTTGCTGTCTTGCAGATGGCTAAAACTTTATATGCACGTTGTGTTGTGGTTTACAAATGTGTTTGTTTGTTGCTTTATATTTTTGTTTTAACAAGAAGTGGGCTCAGTGCGAGATCTCACCACAGGACACGCTGCACAAGTGCGTCAATACAGAGCCGCTCTCACGACATAACAATTCCCAGCAGTTCTCTCACACTCAAGTGGCACAGATACATATAATTTCTCTTTGTGGAGCTTACATAAAATACAAAAGCAGATACTTTTATGAAGATGCAAGCTAGACAGACATCTTTCATGACTGGTTGCTCTTCTTAAACGGGGATTCCACAGATTCTTCACGTCAACGTTATTTTTCCAGGTGCTATGAAGTCCTGATGTTTAGGTGAAACAGTATATCTCCTGTGTTTGCAGGCTGGAAGCGCTGGAATACATTATTTTTGCTTAGGCTACAAGTTTGATGCATTTTTTGTCAGGACTGTAGACTTCAGGATCAGGCGGTATCCAGTTAATGTCTGGATACTTCCAAGCTGGAAGGTACTGACATGTCTGTTGTGTCCACAGGGAGAGAAGGGTGATACTGGGCCAACTGGTGCTGCTGGAGCTCAAGGTGCCCCGGTGAGTTGATAATGATTTCACGCATTAATATGTATTTGTACATAAACAGTTAACTCAGTGCTGTTGTTGATTTTAAACTGACACGTAAAGTTTTGAAGGAAAGTGCAATCAGGACATTAATACCAGAGCTGAAATTAATTGCAGCCTTTAAACGCTGCTAGTAAACACACACACACACACACACACACACACACACACACACACACACACACACCGGGAAACAGGAGATGGTAAAAGCTGTTTTAAAGCTCTGTGCTTGAACAGGGAGCAGTCAGGTTACTCATCTATTTTACGGGGGCAGTCACTTCATCGTGGAAGTCACTTTCTCCCAATAAAAAGTCTTTTATCTATTTACCGAACAGATTTACTGCATCTCATTGATTAATGTTGAATATATTTCTCATCGAGCAGTCCATCCTGGATACAAACTCTTGTGTAAAAGAATCAGTTAAACTCAACAGAATCGATCATTTTTTACAACAAATTGAAGGTTAGATTTGACGCAG